CCTTTACCCTCCCTGTTTTGCCACTCACACCACTGGTCCTATAGGGCTCATCCGTCCTTTCTCTCATATCTTGTTCTAAGTCCCACACCCAATGGGTTTACAGATCTGATTCAGTTTGTTTCAGTTTCTGAGCCTCCACCCAGACCGAACTAGAAGTCCCTGTTTTCTCCCTCAGGCAGCAATGCCCCACTCCTGTGGGCTGCCTCAGCCTGATTCTAGAACCTTCCCTCAACGAGGAGGTTAAGGAGCATCTGGGCTCCAGGCTGGTGTCTGGGTGCTGTCCTTCCTCTGCGATCCCAAGTGCCCCGTCCATCCTCAGGGTAATCACAGGAGCCCTGCTGACATGACCCCAGGGAGGTCACCCAGAGTTCCTCAGCTCTCTGACCCTCCCCCAGAGCCTCCGAAGACCCAGGTGACCCACCACCAGGAACTCCATGTCCCTGAGGGAGAGGTCACACTGAGGTGCTGGGCCCGGGGCTTCTACCCGGCGGACATCGTCTTGACCTGGCAGCGGGACGGCGAGGACCAGACCCAGGACATGGAGCTGGTGGAGACGAGGCCTACGGGGGATGGGACCTTCCAGAAGTGGGCAGCTGTGGTGGTGCCCTCCGGGGAGGAGCAGAGATACACGTGCCTAGTGCAGCATGAGGGGCTACCTGAGCCCCTCACCCTGAGATGGGGTGAGGACGGGCACAGGGGTGGGCCCTCTTCTCAAGGAAAGCCGGGCGGCCCCTCAGAGCACCAACAGAGACAGGGACCCTCACTGCACATTCTCTTTCCAGAACTGCCTTCCCAGCGCACCATCCCCATTGTGGGAATAGTTGTTGGCCTGGTTCTCCTCGCAGCTGTGGTCATTGGAGCTGTGGTTGTATTTGTGATCCGGAGGAAGAAGTGCTCAGGTAGACCTGTGCGTGTGTGTGTCCCAGGTTCTTGTCCCACTCGAGGGTTCACGTCCCAGGTAGGAGGTTGGCAGTCTTCTGCCTCCATAAGGGAAGCAGCATCCATATGTGCTGCGCCCTTGCAGCGCCCTGTGTGCTAACAATTACTCTCCTGTGTGTACGTGCACATCCCTCTGTGTGCATGTGAGAAGGGCACCTTTATGGTTCCAGTGATGGAGACCTCATTCCCAGTAGTCACAT